ACCAAATGATTTATATTAAAGGGAAAACAGTGGATATTGAAGGTTGTGGGAAAGAGTAGCACTGAATCCTGAGGTTCAGGTGAAACCCTGGTCAGCTGAGTAATAAACACATAAACGGCACAACAGAGATAGGTCCGACTCTCCTTAGCATCATTCTGATCTCCTGTGCTCCCAGAATGAAAAGCAGCTTAGACAGTAGGAGCACACCAGAGTTTGGCTGCAACAACGGAGCAGTGCACAGTACCCTGTGGGCCTGTGCTTTCTGGCGGGCAGCTTTACATATAAAACAGGCAGGCCTATCTGTCTCTGCACAGGCTGCAGCCACAAAGTCTGAATTCCCAGCTTTGAGCACTCAGAGTATCTTCACTCTTGAGTTCTGCACAAGAAGAGATTAACAAACACTAAACATTACTCTTCTGTTCATGCCGCGGGCAGGAAGGAAAAGTGTGAATGTCCGAGAAGTTTGGTCAGATTTAGCAGATGATTTTACAGGCAGAGCAGAAAAATATCCAGAAATATTTGTCAAAGCTATGGAGTAAATCTCCACCGAAGAATATTTATGTGGATTACTCATTCAGTAAATTATGACACATAAATTCCATGCTGCATGGTACAGAGATTGAAATTAATACGGTTTAGTCACAAGTTCTTATTGTGTCACCAGCTCTGTAACAAATAAAAAACATCTTAATCCTATCTTCACTTGTGCTTTCATGTGGGGTTAAAGGTGGTGTGAATCAAAATGTATCACAACTGAGCTGTCAGAAACATTACAGCATATGCAAAAGAGAGACAAAATGGGTTTTGGGGGGCTATGACTCAAGTGCATATTGGCATCTAGAGTGTGTTATATCATATTTCAGAAGCAGTTGATGTGACACAAAAACATCTGCTGCAGATAAAGGTGTTCCAAAATCTTCTTCTAACCCAAACCCTTCATGACATCCTCAAATCTTATGAGGTGTTTTGTAATACTTGTATCAATAAGCTGTCAGCTAAATGATTGGTTTCTAAAAACATAGCTATTCTGACACCTAGTGGATGTATGAAAAAATGTCATACATTCATCACAGTTACAGTTATACAAAGTTCTGCATATTTCATGTGTCTGCCATGTGTCAGTCGACATGTTCATCAGCTATATTTGTGTGAACTTAAAAAACAAATAGTCTATGGTCTATTGAAAGAAGAGAGCAAATCCATTTTATATGAATTAACAATTCCAATTACGTGAGATTTTCTAAGTGACAAGAAATGTTTTTGTTTATACATTCAGCAAACGCTTTAATCCAAAGCAACTCACAACACAGTGTTGCTTAAATTCATTCTAAGGGGCAGTGATGGACATCTTACTTGGAAGTGCATCATAAAGATCACATTAAAAAAATATCAGATGCATGCAATTGATTAGAGCTTGATTGCAAGATTTTACTGACACAATGCGGTAGAAATTTCAAACAAAGCCCTGCAGGGATGTGACAGTACATGATTACAATCATCATGTACAATTGCACTAAAGCTAAACACTGAAAAGGAAAAAAAGCATTCTATCGCTGGGTTAGTATTAATCATGCATCACAAATACCAACCAGCAAACAATGATTTAGATCATGGAGTGGTGCTGTGATTATCTTCAGCACAGATTGATTGTTTGTGTCGACTTTAAACTTTTAAAAATGACAGCATCGCAATCGCACTTGAATGAATGACCACAACAAAAATCTGTGTTATTAATACACTCATTCAAAAATATAAAAGCAATTAAATTCCACTTTTTAAAGACATTTTAAAAATATATATATTTAAAAATATATTGTTACAAATGCCTCACAAATACAGAGAAGAAAACTTCAAGTGTTTTCATCGATATCAAGTTAAATCGGACCTGTCCATGAGCCTATTCTGTTCTGTATAGAGTCAGAAATCAGAGCTGGTACTATCCAAAACGTCAGAGCTCCTGTTGGCCATTTAAAGCATGAGAGCAGAGATAACACTGACAGTACAGATTTGGCCTTTGTTGCAGGCATACAATCTAACAACTTCTGATCCACTTCTTAATCCACCTCTGAGCAGCTGCGAAGTCCGAAGCAGAAATATTGGACCAATGCAGGTTGTTTACAAAGTGGTTTGTGCACACAACTATACATGTGGCAAATATAAACTTGCAAACCGTTCTCAGATGCCATTTGTGGTCAAAGAAAATGGAAATCGGAAACTTTCCAGAATACCAAAATCAATTCCAGTTGGCAATAAAGCAAGTTGGCACTGCCTGTCGAACAGCATTAACATCACCTGCCCATTGTGGACATTGTGAAACCATTCATTTAAATCCAACACAACGTTTATAACATTCAATTATCATTTTTCATACGTGCTATTTGATGTATCACCACTGGTAAAGGGGTTGGGGAAATGCTACCACATGTAGTACCACTTCATGTCACACGAGGTCAGTATTAAGTCTATTTTAAAGGAGTGTGAATTCACATTTTACATACATTTGTCCAAAGAAAATGGAATCACGGGGGAATTAATATAATTTCTGGAGGTAATGTGGTCATAAATGGTTTTCATGGCAGCCTGTAATGCAGAGTAAAAATTATGAGAGTGACTGGTCCAGGGCAAATGCTGCCCTGGACCACACAGACAGACATTTTATTTATGAAAATGTTTTAATTGTACAGTTGTGAAAAGAGCTACTTCAACCAGTCGGACTGACATTTTTACTTAGAGAGGTGAGAGGAAAGAGCAGATGGCACCCATGAGGGGGAATGACACGGCTGCAGTTATCTATCAAAATACTGGATTGGAGAACTGTAACAATGAACATGGAACTAAATTATGCGTTTAACCTCAGTGGTAGATCTGAGACTTGTTCCAGCTGAAAAAAATACAAAGGCTTTGTAATGATGGCTGCTTTCCACATAGGGGAGTCACTGTGCTGTTTTATCGTCATGGCTTACTGGCATCTCTGGAACAGAGTCATTATCTGTTCAAATTGGGATTTACATGCTATGTCAGGTCAAAATGTAAAAATGATAAAAAAATAATAAGTTCCCAGATAAATTTGTTCAGGTGCGGACCTAAAAGAGTCTTTGTGCACAATACTAATACATTACAAAGACAGTAGACTTTTTCCTCAGAATTCCATTTATTGTTCAATCTACATCAGTAGGTCATTGGACAAACTGCCTCCAGTCAGTTCATAGTTTGTAGGATACATTTATGACCAAAGAACACATTTCACACTGCTACAGACTGACAGAACTGTCATATCAAATATTAAGATATCTATTTACTGTCATGCTGAGTGTTTTTTTTTTTACCAGAAGTAATGACTTACTGATGCTGTTGCTGCTGCTAGTGTGGCTTCTGGAATAATAATGGCAACTATGAGTCCCTTTGATTGGACTGCATTCCATAGTATTGTCCATCTATGGTCAAATTTTAACTGTAATTTACAGTTAGATGAAACTGGGCTTTACATGGTCTGGCCCAGTTTGTAACAAATAAACAGTATAACATGTCAACTTTCGTAGAAAAAAATTATGCATATGCATTGATACGTTAACTAATCCTCGTAGCACAGGATGTTTATTAGCTGTGCAGTATTTGAAGATAGTAAACAGCTATGATCGTATAGAGATCTTAATGTATCTACAGCTTTGTATTTCCTTTGGGTTATGAGGATTAGCATAGTCAACCTGCACCTAATAATAATTGATGATTACACTGAATATAAAAAAAGACCTCAGCAGAGTGACTCATCTGTACATGAATGCATTTTCTTGTTTTGTACAATGGTTTGATTTTCACATAGTCTCATATTGTGTCTCACCATATGTAATGGCAACGTCTTCATAGCTTCACTTTGGCAGTCAGTTTCAGATGTGGAAGACCCACAGCCTCTCTTGTTCACACGTTCTCAAATGAGTTGTTGCATCCCAAAACTTTCATTTCTGCCATGTCCTCAGACAGGCCATCTTGTGCAGCATAGTTCAATGTAAAGTGTTTTATAGTCTGTTGTTAGTGCATTTGCAGCTAACAAATGTGCTAATTTGTAGATTCCATCAACCCCCCAACACCCTTACCCCCACCCCCACACCTATTTTTCTGGCTGGTCTGCAAAAGGCAATTTCACAGTTAAGTCCAAAGCAGGAGTCTTGTTCAGAGGGTGGGAGAGAGAAGACAGAGGGTATGAAGGGCCAGTCCTGTTGGTCCATTCACTCCAACCAGATGCTAGACCAGTAGTTCCCAACATTTCCCTTACTTTCCGCTTAAAGCATTCTCCAGCTGCTTTCATTTTGTGCCATATCTGATTATTTTAAGCTAAAACTCAGGCAAGACCCCTCTGATCCTCATAATTAGGAAACACTGTGCTAGTCAAGATAGATCAGTCTGTTAGGGGCATGCAGCTAATAAGGCTATCTCAGTTATTAAACTGACTGTTTGAATTTTACAAATCTTGCAGCTGTATTAGACAAAGTATTCTGTAATGCAGACTTGAAAGACAATGTTGATGATGGATGCTTGTTAAATGACACTTGTTAGCCATGTAATACATACATTTAAGCTGGAGCGTCTGAGTTAGCTGTATTAGCTACAGTTGCAAGCTTCTTGTTTTGATGGCTGGCTGGAGTAAAGACTTGTAAGTGCTGATACCCTTCAGGGACCCGGGGCTGCTCTAACCGTTGACATAAGGGCAATGAGCCGTCTCTGGGAGAAGCTTGGACGTCCAAGGGAGATGCAGGTCAAAAGGAAAGAAGAAAAAGTATCCAGCCACGGTCTGCATTTATTTTAAAGAAGTTAAGACTTAGGTTTTCACATGAACAGGCAAAGTTGTCATTTTGTTGAACAAAGATTCAGTGGAAGATACTTTTTCTCTATTGCTGTCACTTGTTCTCCCTTTAGGGTCGCTTCTCGGGTTTCTCTTTCCCCCTCCGTTCTCCATCATCCTCCAGTTACTCATTTTCCTCAC